CCATCCTATACAATGAGACCAGGAAAACTAGAATACAACAATAAATACCATACAAAAATACAGTGCAAAGCGCTGTTTTAATCCAAAAACACGGTCAAAGTTTTTTTTTTTTCTCATTACGCACTGTGTGCTGCAGGATTTTTTTTATACTGCACACACTGACCACATAGACCTATTCTTTCATATGTAGGCCTACCAGCCTTCTCTCACTAGATTTGAGGGCGCTAGAATTTAGGTGTACTAGTATGTCAAAAACCCTGGGTCGTAAGCCTTACTAGTACGGCCGAAACCCTGAAAGGGTTAATATAGGAAGAGAGGTAAGTAGTATTTATTTGTAGGAAGTCAGTGTAGGCAGCTGGCAGGTGTAGCCCGCCTGGGCTACACCTACCGGCTACCTACACTGTGGCCCAGAGCCATATTATTAGCATCGACATACCTTGTTCACTGAATTTAATCATTTCTAACAACTACCTTTAGATGCCATCATAAACGAAGGGAGAAGTAATGAATAACTCATGCCGAAAATTGAAAACAAAAGCGGAGTGGGGGAGTGGCTGGGCCAAACGCAGATTCATGAACGTTTTCTCTGATGGCTAAGCAGAGAAAATGTAATGTAATGTCCCTCCGGCGGGCTATCATACAGGTCCACAAGTATTATTATCAGAGCACATGTAAAATATGCAATAAATGCCAGACAACAGGTTTACACTAACTTATATTAGACCTTTGAGGGTCTGTGCCATAGATCTACGGCTTTACGTTGAGGGTCCAAACTGTAGATCTACGCCATGAGCTCAGCTCACTCTGATAATCGGTGAGCGATAAATTTGGGCCTAGATATGAGAGAATACATTTGTGTGGTATGTGTGCACCACATAAAATAAATCCTGCAGCACACAGTGCATAATGAGAGAAAAAACTGAGACCGTAATTTTCGATTAAAACAGTGACTTTGCAGTGTTTTTTCGTATGTTTTTTATAGTTGTATTTGCGATTTCATGGTCTCATTTGACAGAATGGAAGATATATTACAGAAATAGAGATGATTTTGATTGGTTTTAGCAATGGAAGGGAGTTGAAACTGAGCTCAAAATAGCAGGAATGTTAAATTTTTGCTGATGTTCAAGAGTAAACAAATGATCCCACACGTCTAATAAACATCAGTTGGTGGGTCTAATATACGTTCTCAAATGTGGTGATATTATTTATACAATTATTACAGTATTGCATAACAGTAAATCTTCTATTTTTTGGTTTGAATAAAAATTCATTATGTGAATAAAAAATCAAAATGGAATTCATTTGTAAAGCCTGAAAATGTAACTAATGAACAGAGGAAATGTTAGTTTAGTGCCAAGAATGCCTGCATTGTTTATTCTGGACCCTATTTTGAAATTGGAATATTTTGAGCTTTGCATTAAATTGGCCAAATTACCAATTTCCAATCACTTTATTTTGTAGTTCAGACAGTTGACTTGGAGATTTCTTGTGCTCAATCGATAGAATAGAAGTAATACTAGTGAAATAGCTAAGAATTTGGTCGACTGGAGTAATATAATTGGCCTGAAATGGGAGTCAAAGTCGGCAAAATCGCTGATGCATAAATATCGCTGACACATCAAAATTCGCGAGAGCATAATTTCGTCAGTTTTCCATCAAATTTCGTATTTTTTGTTTTATTACCTTCAGAAAAAGATTCTCTACCATTTCATAAGAGAAAATAACAAAATTATTTTTTGAAAATTCTTGGACACTGGTGCACACTTTGAAATTTGGCCACTGGACCCTGAAAGGGTCCATAGGCAATAGAAATAGGCATTAAAGACACAATAAAAGGTAAGATACACACACAGTACACTTATTACTTGCCTTAAAATATTAATATTAATATGTGAGAGGTGAGTGGCAGGGTGTTTATTGAATAAAATCAGAATGGCACACCATCATCCTCTAACTTGGCACTTAAAGCAAAAGGCTTATGACTCCTCTTTTTATCACAGCTAGGCTTAGACGGCATCATCTGTGAGAGCCAACTAGTTAACGAAAGAGTAAACGAGAGAGAGAACAAGATACAGAGTTCAGACAATGTAAGAATACAAACTGAACAGGTAGTGGGTGATCACTTGGTCAGGCGAGATAAATGCGTATTAATATGTGTGTACTTTTAGTTCATTCACATCCGTTTGTAAAAGTTTGTAAAACATTTACCTCAATATTTTTTTTATTATAATAATTACCTCACAATACAAATAGTCTTACATTGTGTACAAGTTGTACAAGTTACTACAGAATAAACAAACAACAACACACCATTTTTAGAGTGAAGGAAGGTATTATTATTGTTATAATAAAAAGCATTTTTAGAGTGAAGGAAGGTATTATTATTATCATAATAAAAAGCACTAAACCCACAAGGGTCATGAATTGCCATATATAGAGTGAAGGCATACAAAAAGAATATTTTTCTACAGTTATCCCCCAGTTTGAATAGAGAAAACGTAATTCTTCCGACACTACCTACACAGCCGCTTTGTAAACAAATCTCATATTTACGTCAGTTTTTGTTCTGTGAGTGTATATCATGTTTATATGCTATGTAATGGGTTTCATATATAATTTTGAGGAAAATGTCATAGATGGATTAATGAAAATGCCTATATTAATGTAAAATAAGACAGTGTGCCCAAGAGTGATTATTATTACATAGTATTGGCGTCATGAGTGAAGAGACTCTTAGAGATTTTAATGTGTACCAGCACAGTGTGTAAGTATATTTAGGTAGAGGTACACATAAGTATAATTATCAGAGTACATATAAAATATGCAGTAACTTTAAAACGCTTGAAATTTTGGAAAGTTTCCTGACATAATAGATGTGGTCACGGGGAATGTAAACAAACTGGGTGGGGCATGCCGTATTTGAAAGACTGCTTGCCGTATAGAAAATTTTGGTCATAATTTGACATCGCTGTATTAGCGGAACGCCACAAGGTGAAATGCCGTAAAGCGGGGCCCTACTATACAAGGAATTGCACAATAATGTAATAGGAATGTACACTAAATACACTACACATGGATATTATGTTGAAGACAGTTAATCTGTCACGGAAATGTCAGCTTCTCTAAGGAAGTTGGAGAGATCGTGTTCATTTGAGATAGTATATTGGTGACCTACTGCTGTTTTTCTAACTAGTATTTTCCTATCTCTAGTGAAGCACTGATGGATTTTGTGTTCCTGCTTAAGTTTTCTCAACCTGAACAGAAGGTTTTGATGTTTTCTCGTCAGGCACCCGTTGATGTACACTCCAGTTTTCACTTGAATTGCTGCCTGAATAAGGTCCTTTTTATATCATATGAGTGAAGTCTAATCATAGTACTATGTTTACTACCTTGCTTTCCTAGCAATCTAATTTCTTTAACTTTGTTTCATTGCACATTAACTTGTAAGTGGTCTTGTATTATCATGATAGTGGTGTCTTTGCAATGGGCTTGAGCTATTTCACTGGGAATGTTAGGACTGTTTATTATAAATGCATCAGACAACTTACCTTGTTCAGTTTTGTCATCTTGGAAATCAAGGTATTCATTCAGTCGAGCATGCATGTTGTTTTCCCAGTCCTTGATTGCTTCTTCCACCTTTGTATTCAGGGTTGTTATTTGCTCGGTGTGACTGGCTATAGCTGTTTGCAGAGTATTTTCTGTGTCAGTATACTTCCCAATGTAATCTTCTCTTCAAGGTTATGGATCTTGTTCTCGAGGTTGGTCACCTTGGATTCATATCGCGCTAGTGTTGCTTTAACCCTTTGACTGTCGCAACCCCAAATCCTAAAGTGTCTCCTGGTGTCAAAAAAATTTTGGGGAAAAAAAATTGTTTTCTTATGAAATGATAGAGAATCTTTCCCCGATGGTAATGACACCAAAGGTACGAAATTTGATCAAAAACTTATGGAATTATGCCCCCACGAAGTTAACGATCTCAGTGATATATACGCATCAGTGATTTCGCCAACTTTGAGCTCTATTTTTGGCCAATTCCATTGTTCTAGTCAACCAAACTCATGGCTATTTCTTTAGAAATAGCCATGAGATTAATTACAGTTTTACAGATTAATTACAGTTTTACATACACACAACAAATACTATACTGTTCAATTATGTATATAAATATAAAATAACATTTTTACTTACCTTTATTGAAGATTGGTGATGGCATCTGGAAGATAGGGAGGAGGAGAGAGAGGGAGTTGGGGTTAGTGTTTGGAAGGAGAATCCCCCTCCATGAGGACTTCAGGTAAAGCCCTCTCTGGGGTTACTTCTCTTTTTTTTTTGCGATCAATACTTAGAGATATGGAGGCTCAAAGTTAACAGAAATTGAACCGCTTACGGCAACATCGCCAACTGCCTGTTACCCAGGAATAGTTTATTTTGTTTTTCTACTTTTGTCTTTTATTTTTTAATATTTTATCTTTTCAAGTAACTTTTATGGCCTCTGAGACCAATATAAAGACTATTTGGTATATATTCACTCATTGCATACTACACAATAACAGCACAAACTTTGCTGTCATTATATTGTTTACAAAACATGTTTACACAAGCCAACAATAAAAAAAAAATATGGCTATTTCTTTAGAACTCCATTTTTTCTATCAATTTTTTTTTTCCAATAAATTTTACAACATACAATGACAGTTTCAGAAATGGGCTTGCGACAGTCAAAGGGTTAATGTGAATAATAACTGCTAATTCATGTGTTGTAATATCTCTGTGTACATTTAAAACAATTTGGTAGTAGTAGTTGCAGTTATTGTAACAGATTCTTTGTTCACTGCTATATTTAAATATGATACCCATTCCTTGAAAACATTAATTTTCAACATCTGTTTTCATTAAGTTAGAGTATTGAGCAGTTATTTGCTCTCATTATAGCTACCAGGTGATAGTATATGTACCATCACACTGTATAATTAACTTTCATGACAAGCACTTTGTTCCTGTAGCACAACGTGGTGGTCGCAGCCATTCACTCGAGGTTCATACACTGCTGTGGGGGTTGGTGCCTCACAAGGAGATATAACCAACGTCTCCCATCCGCTGTACATGCAGCCCACATGTAGTAAGGTATGCTTTTTCTCATTATTTTTTGTCATTTCAGCAAAACATTAAACATGTGCTTTGTCTCAATTTGCCGTCCCGAAGCATAGGTCAATTTCTTGCATACTCTGAGAAGTAAAAATTTGTTTTTTAGATTACCTTTGGTTAGGTTAGAAAATTCAGTGATTCCCAACATGGGGCATATGCCCCACAGGGAGGCAATGTGAAAATGTTAGTCAACTAGTATTTATTCATAAATATTTTTTAAAAAGAATTATTTTTAAAATTTCTAGGTACAGGTCCACATTCCTTTATCCGAAACCCTTGGGACCGGTATTGTTTGGAATTTCAGAATTTTTTGTACTTCAGGATGATTCTTAACGCCACCACATGGCGGCGTGACCAAGCACTGAGATGACTGACGTTCCACACTCTATGAAAAAGCTTCTGTTTCGAAACTTTTCCAATTTCAAAATATCCAATAAAGGGTTGTGGATCTGTAGTAGGTTGGTAGACAGCAACTGCCCAGGGAGGTACTACCATCCTGCCAATGAGCGTAAAATGGAAGCCTGTAATTGTTTTACATGATGGTAGGATTGCTGGTATCTTTTTTTCCCTCTCTCATAAACATGCAAGATTTCAGGTACATCTTGTTACTTCTACTTACAGTGCTAGTCATGGCATTATGCTGCCCCTCCCACACACACATACCAAAACACAAACACATACCATGAAAGATTATAATATATTTGCAGCTTACTGAGGTTTTAATACTTGGTGCTGCATCCTTTATGCTTAATCACATCCCTCAGCCATGTAGGAAGACTCACACACAAATTCTTGAGGGTTTGGGGAGGTATATTCCATGCTTCATGTAGAGCAGCCTCCAGCCACAAGATGGAACTGATATCCTTGCCCAGTAAACTTAGTTTCACTATTAACCAGAGGTTCTCAGAAGGGTTTAGGGAATTGCCTGGCCAGTCATCAACCCTTTCAGGGTTATTGACATACTAGTATGCATAAATTCTGGTGTCCTCAAATCAAGCAGGAAGAGGCTGGTAGGCTTAGACGTGAGAGAATGAGAGTCTGTGGTCAGTGTGCGCTGTACAAAAAAAAAAAAAATCGGGGACCCAGTGGTGCATTTTGGGAAAGCCATTTTATTACACCTTGTTCACCATGTCTAGTGCTAAGAAACTCCTCACTCGTTGGCTAATTGGGGCTCTTTTGTTCCCAAGTGACAGTTCAAACACAGATGGAAGTGTCAGTGAAGATGAATTTCATGGTTTTGAGGAGTTTGTGACTGAAAGCAATGCCCAGGAAACCATAAGGAATAAGGAAGGAAAGAAGGAGGGAGGTAGGAAGAAAGGGAAGAAGGAAGGAAGAGATGAGAGGAAGGAAGGAAGAAAGGAAGAGATGTGAGGAAGGAAGGTGGGAAGGAAGGAAGAAAGGAAGGAAGGAAGGAAGGAAAGAGACCATCAGCCTAGGATAACCCAAAAAATTCAGACAGTGACTTACAGTGGAACCTCAAATTTCGAACTTAATCCGTTCCAGGAGCTAGTTCTAAATTCGAAATGTCTGAAAATCGAAGCAATATTTCCCATAAGAAATAATGGAAATAAAATTAATCCGTTCCAGAAACCTAAAAATATTCACAAAAAAAAAAAACATTTTTTAGATATAATTACAGTTACATACACACACAAATACTATAGGTGTTCAATTTCAACAGGATTTAACTGGGAGAGTTTTCCGGGTCAACCCACCCGCGGCTGGTCTATACCAGGCCCTCCCTTTTATATGACTATAAATAACACTATCTTACCTTATTGAAGAAATTTGTGTGCATTCCTGAGATAAGAGGAAAGAGAGAAGAGGAGAGACTTTGGGATAGAATTGGAAGAGAATCCCCATCATGAGGACTTCGGGAAAGCTCTCTGGGGTACTTCTCTTCTCTTGTCATTTTAAAGCACACTAGCCGAGACATTGAAAAAAGGACCACATCCTACCTCATGTAAAACAATAATTCTTCCACATCCTTGCGGCGCTTCTTACCATTTCCCTAAATGCTGTACATCCTTCTACTGAACATGTTGCATTTATAGGCTTATTCAGCTTGCTTAATCACAACAAATATTAGGTAATTTTCCACCGGATACAGCATTTCCTGTGGTTCAACTCCCGCGGTCCTGGTGCTATGACACTCCTTCTTTATAAAAATAAAAACATATAGTTACTTACTTTATTGAAGATTGATGGCATCGGAAGATGGAGAGAGAAAGAGAGGGACTGGGTTAGTGTTGAAGGAGAACTCCCCCTCCATGAGGACTTCAGGTAAAGCCCTCTCTGGGGTTACTTCTCTTCTCTTGTCTTTTAATGCCACTAGGACCAGCTTGAGAGTCACTGGACCCGTCTCACAAAATAACTGTCCACAGTCCTCTGTTTCTGGCGCTTCTTTAACATTTCCCTAAAATGGGACATGGTTCTGTCACTGAACTTGTTGCAAAGATGGCTTGTTTCAGCTTGCTTAGAGTGGTACTTCACAAACATTTGGACATTGCTCCACTCGGACATCATTCCATTTCTGTATTATTTCCTTCTTCGCATCTATGGTGTTTCTCACTTTCTTTACCACAGGGGTACCACTAGCAAGTTTCTTTGGGCTTATTTCACAGTCCCACAAGCACTAAACAATGAAATAATCGTAAAATGTTTGAATGAGAGCTCAGGTTAGTGCTCACTCAAGCATAAACAAAGCCAGACTAGCTCACAGTGCGTGTGTGGGGACATGGACAGAGCGGGCCGGCGGACAGGTCTGGTACCTGGTGGTCCGAAAATAGGGGTGCGTTCGATAATAGGGACAAAGTTGGTTCGAAAAAGGGTTCTATTTTTGGAACTTTCGATATGTGATACGTTCGAATTTTGAGGTTCCACTGTATATCCATGTGGGTTGGTGGGGGGGGGAGATGGGAAGGGATGGATGTTGACAGGCAGTAAGGGTGGTGAGTGATGGTGTAATTTGTCATTGTGACACTAATTATACTGGTGACTCAGCATACAGTGGACCCTCGACCAACGATGGCATCGATTAACGATAAATCCGACCAGCGATACATTTTAACGCAAAAATTTTGCCTCGACTAGCTCTAAAAACCTCGACCAACACTATTCGTTCCGTCTGAGACGCGTCCACTTCTGGCCAGTGTTTACAAGCCAGCCAGCCACCGCGGTCGCTTCCAAGCATACAATCGGAACATTTCATATTATCACAGCCTTTTTAGTGATTGCACCAGCAAAATAAGTCACCATTGGCCCCAAGAAAGCTTCTAGTGCCAACCCTACAGCAAAAAGGGTGAGAATTACTATGGATATGAAGAAAGAGATCATTGCTAAGTATGAAAGTGGAGTGCATGTCTCCGAGCTGGCCAGGCTGTACACAAAACCCCAATCAACCATCGCTACTATTGTGGCCAAGAAAACGGCAATCAAGGAAGCTGTTCTTGCCAAAGGTGCAACTATGTTTTCGAAACTGAGATCGCAAGTGATAGAAGATGTTGAGAGACTGTTATTGGTGTGGATAAATGAAAAACAGATAGCAGGAGACAGCATCTCTCAAGCGATCATATGTGAAAAGGCTAGGAAGTTGTATGAGGATTTAATTAGAAAAATGCCAGCAACTAGTGGTGATGTGAGTGAATTTAAGGCCAGCAAAGGTTGGTTTGAGAGATTTAAGAATCGTAGTGGCATACATAGTGTGATAAGGCATGGTGAGGCTGCCAGTTTGGACCAAAAAGCAGCTGAAAAATATGTGCAGGAATTCAAGGAGTACATAGACAATGAAGAATTGAAACCTGAACAAGTGTTTAATTGTGACACCGACAATGTTGTGAAACACTTTAGGAATGTCATAAAGGAACGGGAGGTACAGGCCTCTATGGACAGATATGTTGTGCGACAGAGGTCCAGTGACTCTCAAGCTGGTCCTAGTGGCATTAAAAGAAGAAGGGAAGTAACCCCGAAAAAGGACTTGCCACCTCAAGTCCTAATGGAAGGGGATTCCCCTTCTAAACACTAACACCATCAACACTCTCCCCTCCTCCCATCCCATCAATCATCACCAGATCTTCAATAAAGGTAAGTGTCATGTAACTGTGCATGTCTTCTTCAGTTTGTGTGTATTAAAATTAATATTTCATGTGTTAAATTTTTTTTTTTCAATACTTTTGGGTGTCTTGCATGGATTAATTTGATTTCCATTATTTCTTATGGGAAAAATTAACTTGACTAACGATGAGCTCTCAGGAATGGATTAATAGCGTTAGTCGAGGGTCCACTGTATTTACAAGTCTACCCCCCACACAACAACTGCGAGCTTTACAGAAGCCGTAGCAGTTCTGGGAAGTGTCCAGTGACTTTATATGTGTATATATATGATAGAAAAATAGTAATAAACAACATTTTTTTTATTGTTGGTTTGTGTAAACATGTTTTGTAAACAATATAATGACTGTGCGGTTATTGTGTAGCATACAACGAGTGAATATACATTCAATATACGTACTTTATATTGGTCTCAAAGGCCATAAAAGGTACTTGAATGAAGAAAGAAAGGAAGGAAGAAGTAAGGAAGGAAGGAAGGAGGGAAGGTAGGAAGGAGGGAAGGTAGGTAGGAAGATGGGAAGGTAGGTAAGAAGAGATGAGAGGAAGGAGGGAAGGTAGGTAGGAAGGAAGGAAGGAGGGAAGGTAAGTAGGAAGGAAGGAAGGAAGGAAGGAAGGAGGGAAGGTAGGTAGGAAGGAAAGAAGGAAGGTAGGTGTGTGGGGAGGAAGAGATGTGTTGTGGAAGGCAGTGAGGGTTAGTGAGTGGTGGTATGATGCATCTTTGTGACAAGACACGACGGTGACACAGCACATTTACAAGTCCACCCACACACAACTACAAGCTTTCAGAACCTCTTGTAGTTATAGTAACCTGTCCAGTGACTCTATACGTGTATGTATATGATAGAAAAATTAGTAATAAACAAAAATTT